GGTCGCCCCGAAGTCGGTCTACGGCTATGGGAATTCTCGTCTACCCATGGTCAGCACCGACATCGCATCACGGCCCATGTGATCAGCAATGTGCCGAAAGCACCACTCGACTTCGCGCGTACGTGTTCTTTATTTATAAGTTTAAATAATGATAACTAATGTAGAAATGGGAATGTTTTGAAAAAACTGAAACGTGCATACCAGTCATATCACCATATCATTGTATTTCAGTCTCAGCATTAGTCCCCCTCCTTCAAGCCATTCTTCTATGAACCACCAACTTTTGAGGGCACAAGCCGTCACTCATTGATGCAATAAAATATTAAAAACAAGGAGAACTTTTTTCCGCTGCATGTGTAACCCTGTTTCTAACACGATAAGCTATTCATTTAGGTTTTGTAACTGTCTTAATCTCATAAAAAACTCATAATAAGAACAGACTTTTCCACCATTTGTTATTAATCAAAGACTGATGAACTCAAATTGGATAAAGGATATTTTTTTATTATTAGCTATTAACATACCTAGAAATGTTATGAGTGTTATTACTACAGATGCCAAAAGTTAAAAATCGAGGAGGATGTAGCGGAACCGAGATTTTCAATTTGGACGAGGCAGTAATAACACTGTAACAGTTCGTGGCATGGTCAGCATTTTATCGGTTACCATAAAATCTCACGATTTATGCGAAAATTTACGACGTTACTGCGATAGTAAACACACAAATTCTGTTGCTTTTGATAAATCAATTTAAACAATATTCTTATATCAGGTATCACGAACATAATGTTTGCCAACAAAAATTTTGCCTGGACACACTCTTTTTGCAAATAAACTTAAAAACCCGACATTTTTTTGTTTTGTCAAAATAACTCGAAAACCATCCCCTTTTTTGTAAATAATGGTCGTATATAAAATAAAAGAAGATACATTTTCTTACATTTTATATCTTAAGGGGTTTTCTCCAACATGTCATTTAGCCGCTAGAGCATCATGAATTTTGGTATTTTTATGAAGAAAATTCTGAGAACGGGATTCATCTCATTTTATCAACGTAGCCCAAAAACTACGCATATTTTTGTTTTTGAGAAGCTTTATGTGACATTACTTAAAGCAAATATACTCATAAATATAATAATGTGAGCAAATTGCTGCTAACGTAAATATTACTGACGTGAGAGACAAATAAAAAAAATTACAGTTTTGAAAAAAAAAGAATAGAGCAATATAACATTTGTCATCTAATAAATTGCATTTAATACAATCCCTACCAGAAGTTAAAATAAATAATTTGAAGCGGTTTTGGAGAAAATCTCGTTATTGTAATTTTTTAAAATTGTCCGCAATATTGCGCGAAAGCTACTAAAATTTTCAAAAAAATGTACCTGATCTTAATGAAAGAACAAATTATGGACAACAAATTGTCTTTGAAGATAAAATGTCTTTTTTTTTAATTTTGTTGTAGAAAGACCCCGAAAAAATTCAAACTTTTGAAATTTTCGAAAATTCATTTAGCCGTAAAAATGAGGCCTATGCCACCTTCATAAGTGCATTTTACTCTATTCTTATAAGAAATTTAAAGGAAACATTTTGAGCTATTTTTAAAAAATTTTGAAAATGTTCCAGGGGCTTCATTTGAAGTACCCCCAAAAACTAATGAATGATTGTCAAAATCGCAGAGCTTCGACTCAGGAAAAATGGACAGGATTTTTTTCAATTTGGAAAAAATCCTTCGCACAGTTTAGGCGTTAGTGTTGTTCACATACACATGAGAGACGGACGGACGGACATTTTGAAAAAAAAAGCAACACTATTTCGATATTAGGGGACCCCAAAACGAGTATTTTTGTTGAAATATCGAAACTTGTTTGTCGCAGCATTACATAACTTTCCCTATAATTCGTAAATACGTACGTATATGGGAAACGAAAAATAGTAATAATTTGTTATTAAAGTCGCTGTAATCAAGAGCTGCAAATCAACGAAGGATTAGGATATTATGTTTTTTATTCAATGATATAGATGTGAACACATAAAATTTAAATGAAATCGCATGATATTGATTTACAAATTAAACATTCGCTTACATACAAACATTTCTATCTAGGACTGAAGAAAGTCGACAGGATTTCACGAAATATGCCTCAAGCTTTTCTACTTTTTCTTTTTATAAAATTTCTTTCTCTTTTTCTCTTATTCTTTTTAGATTCTTTCTAGTAAGTACTTATTACCGCGCCGACTAAGACTCATGTAAGCGATTAATGCCCTATTATTTTGTTTTCGGAAAGTCGTCGCAGCACCGCTTGTCAAGGGGAGTTAGAAGTAGATATGGATTGTCCCCATCTCTGGAAATCAGTCAAAGACATTTTCCTTACAACTGGACTAAAATACAGCGAGAATCACTACTCCCATTCAAATCTAAATGGTTAAAGATAGAACTTTACTTTATTGATACATTTTAGACGTTTCTACAATTTTTTCTTACGCTTCTCATTTTTATTTTTCCTGCATTTTTTTTACCATTTTAATTTTTTTTTCTACGTCTTTCTTGCGGCGGCGTGACCTCACTCTAACCGCCACTGCGATTACATCAGTAACATATCCAACATCTTGAGCTATGCATCTGAATTTGTTTTGATAAAAACTTTTACGTCACTTTTCTGTGCTTTTATGGCATTTTAAAAACTTTTTAAGAGTATTTTATTGATCATTTTTTGCGATGTTTTGCTTATCAAAATCAATCCGTCCACTAGTTATTATATTTCCACATCTTAGGTTATTGTGTTTCCCCATATATCCATTGTTTTGCTTCTGGACATAAATGTAAATGTAGCTTCACTATGCGCACGTTTTGTTTAACTCATCTTTTGCTTGTAATGGTAGTTGCTTGTAAGGGCGAGTTACTATTTTGTTAGTAATGCAGAAAAATCATACTTGCAATTCATTTACTGATGCTAATGAGTTTTCAATAAGTCGGGAACGAAAATGTCTATTTTTTCAAATATTGCTAATCTCGCGCTTCTTTTGAATTTATTTTTATAAATTTATTTATTTTAAACTTTTACTCATCTTTCAACTATTTATAGTTAAAATGACGGGAAGGGATCCTGGAACTCAAGACAACGTGCGCATGATCTACTTCCCCATACGTCACACAGTTTTTACTGCTTTTTTGACCAAATAAATCAAAATCTAGGGTTACTATATGAATGCCCTACTGTGACTCGAGTGTGATCGGTAAATTAAAATAAGTTTTTTATTCAAAGTATTTTGGTCGAATGTGTCATATTACAGATTATGTAGAATGATACGGGCTAAACTCAGCTCGTACTGTGATACGACTTTATTCGTTTTAATGAAGTTTCGAAATTATTTTTACTTTCTCGCTGCGCGGTAGAGAGAAAACTATGTAATGCTGTGCGAAAAAATGGCAAATTTTTGGTCAAAAATTCTTAATACAGGGATCTGGTAACAATAGGTGGATAAATCAATTTGCTAAATGTAGCCTGAATCTCTGTTTTGTCCTTATTACCGAAAATTCGAATAACGGCAAAACGTCTGCCCGTCCATCTGTCTGTAAACAACACTACTTTACTTTAAATTGTTTTGAAACTTACTAAACTGTTGTTTTTTTAATATTGCGTCTGTATATACGCAACGCGTCTCCTAGCTCCTTAAGGAGCGTTGAGCGCACAGTTAATTTTCACAATTAGGTTTGAGCAATACGTTCAGCTGATTTTCTCCAAAATGTATATTCCCCAATCAATCTGGCTGATGCCGCGTTCTAATTAAAAAAATATTAGTGTGAAGGACGTTTAAGAGAATGGTATACGTCTCACGTTTGTTAAAAAACATAATTTTGGGAAAATTGCATAAGTTCAATTTTTTCGGACTCTTCCTGCAACGAAAATACTAAAGACAGATTTTCCCTTAGTGAATTTTTTCCTTAAAGATAGATTTTAAAATAAGGTCACACACAATTTTTTGAAAATTTGAGTACTTTTTGCGTAATTTTGCTTACAATTACGGGCGAGAAAGTACGTGCTCTTTTAGCTCCTAGCTCTTTTAGTGAGAAGTCAAAATTAATAGTTAATGAATTTTTGGGGGGGAGACAATTTTTTATCCCCCCTCCCCATGGATCCACGCCTAGTGTTAGAGAAGTGAGAGAAGGTAAGTGAGGTAAGTTAAGTTCTCACAGTAACATCCAAGTATTTTTTGCCCTTGGGTTCGACTGTTTAGCAGACGAAGCTCACAGTGCTAAAATATGGGCAATTGTATAAACTTTCATTTCACATAAGGTCAATATTTACGGAAAATGTGAAGTTTTTTGAGCTACATGGGATGAATCCTGTTTTCAAAATTTTCTTCATAAAAACACCAAAATTAATATTGCTTTAGCGGCTAAAACGCAGGTTGGAGAAAAACTCCTTAAGAATAAAATGTATGAAATATTATCTTATTTTATTTCATATACGACCATTATTTACAAAAAGTAGATGGTTTTCGAGTTATTAAAAAACCTCAAAAATGTCGGATGTTTTTTGCGAAAATATTTTTCCGGACAATTTTTTTGTTGGCAAACCTGATATTCGTGTTCAGCAACCCTAGACATATAGAACACAAATATCAAAACTACACCAAAACTTTCCCTTATTTTTTATCATATTACCGGAGAAGCATTTCATTTGTTGGACTCTCAGGAAAATGAGGTTAATTTACTTAATACACATTTTTTTAAATTTCACTATTAATAATACAATTAACAATTATTATCACCAAAACATATAAGTTACTTTTATTCTGAATTATTTGAATCTGATTTGTTTTGTTCAACATATCGCCAGGTTTTTTTTATAAACATTTGACTTTCTATTAATTGATTGTTGTGCTAAGGATGTTAAAAACCAGTTGCAATAATGTTAAATTTCTTAACATACAGGTAGGTACAAATGCACTTATCGAACCTTGAGTGTTGCACGTTAACAGGGGTTGAAGACGACTTTGACCGATAGGACTACTTGTGCTTGCAATACTCTTTTATGAAGGGGTTCCGGCTAAAAGTTTATCGGGCGGGCCCGCACTAATTTCGTTGCGCTACTAGAGAGTATCCAGTTTTTCGTATAAATCTTGTCCATGTATAATAGTTCCTTCCTCTAACACGTTGGTATACAAATCACTGATGGTATGTATACATGACAGGGAATTCGACTAGTCTCTCAAGCTCGCGCCCTTTATACCCTGCTCACGCCAGCCAACCCGCCTCTGTGAACGACCACGTGTGGTGTGAATTTTTCGTATTGGAGTGAGAGTCACCATTGGGCAGCGTGTATCGCTGGTGTATCGCGGTGTATCGCGAGCCGGTGCGGTCGTATGGAGTGTGTAGATGTGTTTTCTGTTGTGAATTTTTAAGTCACATAGCCAAATATCTAATTATTATAATATTCATCCTACGTACGTCATAAAAGCGATTGTATGTTAATGAATGTTTTTGGGGGTAAGCATACGAATTGGTGTATTATTAGTTCTCTGAAGTTAGAATATTATTAGGTATGCTCTTATTCATATAGTACTGTACTGCCCATTATACTGCAATATACGAAAACATTGCGGAAGTAGAAAACGTAAAGCTCACGTGAAAATAAAAAATAAAAACTTGTGGCTCTGAATTGGTATTTATTTTTAAATATGTGTGAATCAATGATATAAAAATATATTGTTTGTTTTAGGTTTAGAACACTAAATAATCTTAGGGTGTCAGAAAACTGAATAGGAAGCTATCAGAATGGCAAATCAATTTGATGCTGCTTTGGGTGGTAGCATACAAATTCCTGGTGTGATATCAACAGCAGCATTTGCACAAGCACGGTGTCAAGAAATAGAAGCTTTAAATAATGCATTAGGTGAGTTTTGATGCAAGTTATTTGAGTGTACATATTTTTTTATCTATTTAGTGGATCCAGTTCCCAAATAATTCTCATTCATTTGAAATATTTAAGAACAAGCTCAGAAAGGAGGCCTAATCTTTCAAAGATTGCCGAAGGCAATGAGGAGAAGAGTTATGAGCCGCCATTCCAAACGTATGCCCAGAAGATTGCGAGAAGCTCATACAAAACAAGTAGGGTTTTTGTTGTTGTTTGTTTCTGACAGCGTTTTACATTTCTAGCCATGTTGTGATGTGTACAAAGGTTATTTCTTGTAGTTGGAGAAAAATGGTGTGCCACCAAAAACAAAATGCCCTTCCCGAAAGTATAGAAGACGTCCTCAAAATCTGTTGTTGGAGTATAACCGTCGGCAGCGAAACTTTATATGGTTGGAAACTCATATATGGCATGCCAAAAGATTTCACATGGTGGAAAAATGGGGTTATAAATTAGCCAGTTTCCCTAATGCAAAGACGTTCCGTGCCTGTTATCGTGCGAGTGCCAACCACTGTTTGTTGCAGGTAATATAAAGAAAAACAAATTTTTTTTGAATCATTGTAATGTTACTTCAGCAGTTGTTTATTAAATATTTATGCTAAGCACCTCAATTTCAGGATATTTCATATTACTGTTGCATGGAAATCAAAGGTCCTGAAATACAACTGATTGAAGGACTTAAGAAACATGTTAGTTCAGCTGTTGGGTTAACATTTGGAGCTCAGGCTTTCATCTCCGGTTGTAAAGAAGGTCATACCACATTCTATTATAAAGATAAGTTTCCATTTGGAGCTGTTGGTGCAGTTCAGTTTTTATGGAAAGCTGAAAATGAAAGTAGCACTGAACAGAGAATTTTATGGCTGTGGACCCATCCATCTATTTATAATGAAGTTAAAAATTGTTTGATTGAAACATTTGCCCTAGGAGAGGAAATGTTACCAGAGAAACTTTCGGAAGATGTAGGCAGTCAGTTCAGTATGGTAGAGATGAAGAAACTTGAAGCACATTGTGTAGTGGAGGCTTATCCAAAATATATTAGTTCAGACAATAGAATCTGTTTGATTTTATTGAAAGATAAATTAAACAGATTTCGATTGACTGGCCCTCTCTCACACAGTATTTTAGTTGATACATTAAATGTTACTTCATTTGCTGAAAAAGACAAGTTGCTTGATATATTTGAAACCGAGGATGTTGAATTTTTAAATTCAGACAGTGACTTTGAAAGTCCTGAAGATACCATAGCGCAAAGAGAAGAAGCTGATGTAAATGACAACAAGAGAATATCTAGTGACTCAGAAATGTGGTGGAAAACTTATTATAGATCAAATGAAGTAGCTCAAAAGGCTCACTTTTCACAAGCTGATTTTTGGAGGGCAATTAGAGGTTCATATTCTGCATCTCAATTCCCTCCACACCAAGTAGTGGCCCTCACAGTTCTGGATCCTCGATATCAGTTACCATCCAAGCGAGTTAAAATTGTTCCGGATTCCAAAGGTAAGATTCTGTTTTCTTTGTTCTTGTTATATGCTCTGTTAGCATTGGGCTAAAAGTAAGGCTGGTATGATTTAAATCAAATAATTTTTTTAGAAAAATCAATTATTTGAATCAATATTTGTAATTTGTAAAATTTCAAAAACTAACATTGTTATAAGTTTTTCTATGAATGCAGTTGTTTTCAATAAAGTACTTGTTGATTAGGATGGTATTGCACAAAAAAAAATTTAAAATGCTAATAGATGGTATCACAAGCTTATTCAGGAATGTAGATGCAAGAGAAGTGTTTCAAGAGTACGAAACTATAAGTAAATCAAATTTAAAGATTTTGGGGGTTAGGGCGGTATTGCACAGGACCCCTCAAAAATATAGAACCATTATTTTTTTAAATATATTTACAACAATTGAATGACATTTAAAAACAGATGTTTCAATAATCTTTTTTGTACTTTTAAAGTAAATGAGGATAAATAAATCACTAAATGATTTTGGTTTGAAGTAAAAACATCTAATACAATTTTTTTTTAATCTGTTGATTTTTAATTATTTTTTTTTTAATTGTGGTTTTTTTCAACTTTAGCTAAAAGTATGACTTTTATAAACAAAATGTCTGGGGAGAAAACATCGAAACTTTGCAAATAAACCCTTACGACAATTTTAAGCATATCTTGTCCAATAAACTTCTTGGATATTTCAAAAAGCTAAGCCACTATATGCACTCAAAAGTTGGTTTGAGAAAAAACACTTTCTAGGCAAAAATTTGCATTGCAGATGCATAGAAACACTCCAGAAGATGTAAATTGTTTATTATTTACAAAAGAAATGAATATATTTGTTCAGAAAAAATTAACATAGAAGTAAAGAAAGCGCCCAATTAACACAATTCGACCCATGTTGCCTCCCCAGAATGTGTGTGTGTCTCTCTCTCTCTATATATACGTATATTATTAGTATATGGGACTTTTCTATTTCTCAGGGTTGACTACATTGTCTCCAACCTCTAAAGACCTTCTCTGGGTTTAAAAGAAAAAAATCTAAAACCGCCTAAAATTTCACTTAAATATTTTAATAATTTTAAAATTATTTCGAATAAAATAACAAAACCTATAATTTAATGTCTTGAAATTCCCATTAATAACTGAAATTTAATTATCTTAAACCCATACAAACAACTCTGAAAACAACGTGAATACAGGATATTGATAATAAAATACAAACGTAATTTGATAATATTCAAAACTCCAATCTAAATGCAACAGACAAGTACAAATTAAAACTAAAATAAACCTAATAATAAAATGCAAACTTTATTTCCCAACTCTGTAAAAGCAGAGGCTTTTGTTTGTTTCCCTTGAGCGCTCAAAATACTTGACCATTTAAAACTGGGCAAAAAGAGAATTACTTCTTAGCATCCTGCAAATAACTTAGGTTAGGAGGTTGGTTAAACTCTTGAGATTTGATTTGCAGTTGATAGGAACTACCACATTTACCACCATGCAACATGTTCTTTTCCTTAAAACAACACAAAATGCTCATTGTAGTTTTTTAAGATTCTTAGGGAAAGCTAAAGACCAAAATAGGAATCTTCCATATGCCCTCTTATTCCCTGTACATCACACAGTCTAGGGAATTTTTAGTACATTTACATCCTAATCACTAAACTGCTTTGGAGTAAAAAAATTAAAATTTTCTTATCGAACACATTGGAAAAGCGTGAGGCATCAGAATAGCATGACAACACCTATGGACATCACAGCACACTGGTTGGAAAACACTACTGTATTGTTTCTCATAAGTACCTCTGGTAGAATTAAGGCAAATTTTCAAGTACTTCGGCATTAATCATAATGTACACTTACATAAAGCATACCACTAGGAGATTTTTTAAAACAAGATACCTCTGCTTATTTTCACTTTATTTTAATATAAAATTGTTTTCATGTTCTCAAACTTTTTTTATTTTCTTCTTAACTCATTGAAAGGTATTGCAGTTTCTCTTTCTTTTCTGTAGCTAATAAATGCCTTTTTGCAGTTCCTTTTCAGCCAGAGAGGCATACATCTCTTTTTAAAAGTATTAGTATCAGCCCCATTTGGAGTTCAGAAGTAAGGATGGCAACTTGCACTTCCAAACTCTCACAAAGTGAGTGGGAAAAGCACCGTGCACAAAAGGTTCTTGTTCCTGGAATATCAAAAGGGGAAATAAATTGTGCAAAAACATTAAACCTGGAAAAGTCAAATGGATTTGAGCCTTCATGTATACCCATTTTACTTGTTCAAAGGCCCGGAAGTCAAGATTCACAACAAAAACGAGTAGGTAAGTCATAATATGGTTATGTGAACTGGACATTTCATTGTGGGTAATCCTATGTTAAAATTTGCTTACATGTGTGTGCTGTGTTGATGTATATTCACGTATAGCAATTAGATAAAAAGTTCATTTGTATTTTTTATTATCTTTATTTTAGGTTTCAGTTCTGGATGGGATATAATATTCCCTGCTGGTTGGGCTATGCCTTTCTGGATCGCTTTAATTTTTCGTGGAGCCAAGCCTGGTGGACTGAAAGAGACATCTATGGTGCAGTTTGAAACAGGATCTGTGACATTAACTGAACCCTTTGCGCCAGACACTGCTGCTGGAAAAACAGAATCAGAGGCAAACAGACGAGAAAGAGAACAACAACATTTTCAGTAGGTTTTCTCTTCCTCTCCACTTTTCCTCACTCTACAAGCATGCTGTTACGTTGGTTGCAGAAATTGCAGACAAGATGACATTGGTGTATATTCAGTGTATCTATACGAATAAAAGTGAATTCAACAACATGTAATTGACATAGATTCCACAAAAAGGAGTGTATGAGTAAATGTGAAATACTTACAGGCTCTTTTTCAGGATTTTATGCAGCGTCCTTGCAAAGTTTGGTAAAGTTTAATACAACCCAAATGTGAAAAATAAATAATTTAAATAATATGCTGGTAGATGCACCTCAATAATTATTTTTTGTCTATCACTGAGAGACAGGTTCCTAATATATTCCCCCAGAGCCAGCAGTTGTGCGGTAGAACTGTGTGCTCTATTTCAATGAAAGATGCTACATCTACGTGTTTTTGACACAAGTGGATTTTGTGTTGTTAACTTTGTAGTAACTCTACTAAATGGCACGGCAGCACAAGATTGCACTTACTCTCCATTCAAATCTGAGCTTCGTTGCTGCTGGGCGTTGCCATGTGACACGGGGCGAGGAGGACAGGTCAGGCAGCAAGACAGACAGAGAGAAAGATAGACCGGGACAGACGGAAAGAGAGAGATGGAGCAAGAAAGAAGAAGGGGGAGGGAGATGCGCCGGTTCTGCTAGTTTACAATATACGTCATGGGCTGAGAAGTGGATGCTACATTGTCACCTCTTAGCAAACTAGTGGCATACAGAATGGCACAGCCTTTCCCACATTAGTTTTCTATTGCCTTTGGTTTCAGGTAGCCATTTGAACTTGCCACATACTCATGTCTTCTCTCATCACCGCCCAAAGTACATTTTTTTGAAATCTTAATTTTTTGGTTTTCTAATAGTAGAACGGAAATATTATTTTCAGATTATTAAAGAACAGTAAAAACTCTTACTAAATGGCAATTTTCTTTGAAAAATTGGGAGCCATTTTTAAGATGGCACTTAAGCGCTACAGTAAGTGCGAAATGTGAAGCTCTTTTTCACAGAATATTTTTGAGTGTTCGAACAGTTTCATTTAAAGTCATTTGAAGTATTTTAAATCAAAAACACAACAATGTTTAAAACAGCTGCAAATGTGCATATTACTGGCATGAGACCCTAGGATGAAAACAGCCAATGTGAAATGCCTGTACAAGCTTCAGTAGATGCCAGTGATTTAGAAGAATTAGAAACAGCAATAATGGGACTAAAAAATCAAAAAGCTCCAGGACCTGACGAAATAAATGCCGAACTAATTAAACATGGAGGTCTGCTGTTGGAACTAAGAATTCTCCACCTATTCAATATATGTTGGAAGCAATTGCCATGTCCCTGGAGAATGGCAAAAAGCAAAAGTAATCTCATTATTTAAAAAAGAGAAAAGAAGTGATTGTGGCAACTATAGAGGTATTAGTTTACAACCCACATGCTATAAAACATATGCTAAAATTTTAAATAAAAGACTTGTTAATATCTTTTAAATTTTAATTATAGAAGAACAAAATGGTTTAGAAAAGGACACTCCTGTACAGATAATATTTTTACCATCTGACAACTAATAGAAAGATATTGGGAATTTAATCTAGAAACCCATTTGGCTTTGGTTGATTATGAAAAGGCTTTCAATAAATTGAAACACTCCACTTTATGGGAAATTATAGAAATAAGAAGCTATCCACATCACTTAATCAATAACAATATACCTCTGTATCAAAATACCTTTTTTATTTTAGAACTAGAAGAAAAACATTCAAAAGAAATAATAACAAACCAAGGAGTCCACCAAGGATGCAGCCTTTCACCAACATTGTTTAACATTTACGTGGACGACGTCATTCAAGAATGGAAGAACAAAATCAGCCTAGGAATTAAGCTTAGAAATGGTGTACTTAAAGACACTCCTATTTGCTGATGATCAAATTATAATCCAAGAAAGTCAGGATGACTTACTGAGGTCTATCCATCAATTAAACCAAACTTGCAAAGGATATAATCTAAAGATTTCAAAAAGGAAGACCAAAACAATGGCATTTATGGGAAAGCATCCTACATGCACCAAAATAATTTTGGAAAATTCGATGCGAGAACAAATAGCCATTTTTAATATTTGGGTTACAACATAGCGTTCCTCACAGAAATGGATGTAGATGAAAAAATTCATAAATACCAGAATATATGCGGAAATATCCGGCGAACTCTTAAAGATAAAACACTAAAACATGCAGAGATTCTCTGATGAGGATATATAAAGTAATGGCTGTCCCGTCTCTGTTCAGAAGTGAATGCTGGACTGTGAGGGAGAAAGATAAACAGTCGTTACAGTCTGCTGAAATGAAATTCTTGAGATACGTAAAAAAAAATGTACCAGATTAGACACACAGGCACAGATAGACGGACAGACAGACAGACAGACAGACACACAATCAGATAGGCGGATGGACAGACACCGACTGACTGACGTGGATATAGAGAGAGAGGAAAGGAGAAAGATGGAGATGAAGGGCAGAACAAAGTCTGCCTGATTTTGCTAGTTTCTTATAATGTTTTTTTGGAGCTTTGTGTGAAAACTAACTTGAAATTTCACATTTTCAGAAACTCTCAATCAACATTTTCTCAAAATGCTAATTTTTAATTTTTTTCTTGGATAATGTTAAATGGACTAAATAACATGATAAATGCCACTTTGATATATTTATTTGTTGTTTTTTCTCTGAAAATTTACACAAATGTAATCTTTGTGAAATATCGTTCATGCTGGTGATATTTACACTATCAGCAATTTGCATACATTATTGTATTTGTGAGTACAATTGCTTAAAATAATTTTATCTAGTTTCTTGAAACTCAAAAGCTTAGGGTAAAATGATCATCAGAATGTTCATTTTCAGAAACTTTCAAACAACATTTTCTCAAAATGGCTTCAATTTTTTAAATGAAAATGTACACATAGAATGAAATTTTACCTTTCTATAATATTTTTAATCATGTTTCAGTTCTACCATAAGGTGACCAAAATATTTAGAAAATGTGCAAAAATGTTGTTAGGGTAGCGATAGATGGCAGCTAGGAAGAGGATGTGGTAAACCCACTGGCTGGCCCAGAACAAAGAAATTAGGAAATGAACTAGTACAAGAATGTCTGTGCCATTCTATGGCACCATTACTTTAACTGATAAAGTCAAAGCATATTTTAAAATCAAAGTGCATTTATTTTCTTGAATTTGTTGAATCAAATTCTATATTGGAAGTAATGTCACAGTGAAAAACAAATTTTACTTAGAAAATTTCAAAATATCTCATTTGTTGGTGGTCATCCCAATTAGAACCTAGGACATTCAATGCTATGTTATTAGGTGCCAATTTATTTGAAGCCTCGAATTTAAAGTGTTCTCTTAACGGAATTACAGTAAGCTTAGTATGTACTAGATAAACATGAATTTCACTGTACCGCAAAGAAAATTGGGGACCCAACAAGTAATAATAATCATTATTATTATTATTATTATTATTATTATTATTATTATTATTATTATTACACCAAGTTTAAGTGTGCTTCACCATGAAGCAAAGGGATATAAACCTTATGCTGACACTACATCATTGCATTTAAAGTTGATATGCATAGACAGAATGTTTTTATCCCGTCTCAGTTTGTAGTGAGGAGATTGTCTATTTTGAAAATAATAAAAAATTATGTGTATGATGTTTGGGAAAAAACAGATTGTATGCACTGTCTTTATGATGATTAAGTCAAATGTATTACTATCATTTGATAACTTAATCAACAATATTGAGCATAATAAGTGTAATATGAGTGTAATTGTATTGTTTTGTTTGTTTTTCAGTCTTCCTCCAAATAAACGTCCAAATTTCATCAAATTGGGAATAGCAAGTCCTTTTTCATGTTGTTGGGACATTTTATTGAATGATTGGTGCCAAAACAAACACAAAGACATTGATGCATCTTTTTATGTTTTGCGTGAAAAAGTAAAATTGGATGCCCTGAAATGTATTATTAATAATTCATTCAAATCTGGCAGTAATGTAAATGGGGGTACTAGAGCAGATCAGATTTCTCATTTCTCAAGTTTATTTTCGAATATGAACCACAATTGCCTCATTCCTGTTAGGATTGAAAGTGTTAAGAGAGGATGTCCAGCTGATTGTGCCCTAATTTGCATTCCAAGTTCAGATGATATTTTGCATTCAAAGGAAAATTCTGCCTGGGAAGGTCCTGTGGAGCCCATCCATAATGATAACAAATCTGACCAGAGGAAAACGTTGCGCAATCAACATAAAAAAGAACTGAGGAGATTGAGAAAGCAACGTGTTCTTAGCAATAATAAATTAAAAAAGCAGATGGACATGTTACTGGAAAAGGGTGAAAGTATATCACATTTAATTTCTCTGAAAAAGGAGAAAACTCCAACAAAAGATTTTGTAGATAAACATGCTGAAGAAATGAAGCTGCTTTGGATTCCTGAGCCCAAAACTATAAAAGATTCATGCAGTCGAACTGTTGTTGGATTTGTGTGCAAAGGTGATTTTTCCTTCAGTGAAGCTCATGGAGTAGGATTAGGGTATGTTCCTCTTCCAGCTCTAGTTCACCTAATCAATACTTGGACTGAGAAGCCTTTAGTTCTGTTTCGGAATCCAAATTCTCTTCAGTATTATTATGCTGTTTTGAAAATATTCTAGTTTTTTGTAAGTCAGAGAGCTTTTGTATATTGTGAAATTTTCAATTGAAAATCCTTTTTGTTGAGAATTACATTGTGTAAGATTTAAGAGTGAGTCAAAGTGATGTAAAAATGTGTAAAATAATTATTCAGAACATACTATTCTTTTGATCTCTTCTGGCAGTTTTGAGAAGTGTTGTGTAATATGAAGTTCATTGATTTGTTGTTATGTTCTGGAAGAATTGTATATAATATTATATGCAGTGTCTGCATCAGAGAGATCTTTAGTTACTGAGGGAGAAAAATAAATGTGTATAACTAAACAGTTGATACTGAGAATTCTATATGGCCTGTATTTATTGGTATTTTTGGTAGCAGCCTGCCCCTCCTGGTTTTCCTTTTGCCTCCAACTAAAGTGCATACATTTTACAAATTACACTTAATTTTTCCAGTAATGGTAACAGCCAGTACATTGAATGTATGCTTTCAAAAACGATGAATGATGAGTTAATATGTGCTAAATAGTAATGCTTTTCTTACCTGAATATTTAGGAAATTTAACTCCACACTTTTTTGTGAACATTTCTGCAGATTTTGCTACATTTTTGGCATTGTATAATCAAATAAACTTTTTTAAAAGCTTCAAAACCTGTGCTTCCTAATTCTATACATTTGAAAGCATTTCTAGATGGTTCTTTTCTGCAAAAGAAGGTTGAGAATACCCAATTTGGAGTTATTTTGCCAAAATCATACATTTAATTTTATGAAGTAGTGGCAAGAGATACAAGGTCAATATTTTGCACTCGGAAACTATGTTCATTTATTGTGTGCTATTTTCATTATTCATACCAGGAAGCTATTAAAAGTTAATATTACATACTTTCTTTGAACACTCTCATTTTCTTCAGTGACATTGTTGAACTGTTCATTAATAAAGGCAAAATTGTTAGTTCCATTGCTGCAGGGGCTTGTTCTTAGGTTGCAAGATTGCAAGAAGGGATGTACAAAGTGGGTAATGTCAAGTGATTGAAATGTATTGTATCATCAATATTAACATTCCTTTTTGCTTTCCCATATACGTACGCAGTGGCGGGATTTCGGATCTATTGGGGGGGGGGGGCAAAGGATCCATAAGATGGTAAAAAGTTCCCCTAAACCAAATGGTATACGAGGAATTACCGTATAATTCTATCATATTTTGAAAGATTTGTAAGCCTCTGTCCCACCATCTACACTACTTTACAGCCAGAAACTTTTTAATTTTAATTTTTTCGTCAACTTAACACTTTTACCAGACTGAAAAATTAAAAAAAAATATTCTCTCAGAAAAACATGCTTTTGATATTTTCTTGGTGCCAAATTCAAAAGCAAAGTTTTTTTCTTATTTTACTCTCTTAGAAACCTGGAACAGGCTTGAAAAAATCTCAAAAGTTATTTTTAAAACTCACAACGTGACATTTTGGATTGCTAGGCTGTAGTTAAAATAAAAACATTTTTTACCATTTTAATCCTGATTACAAAATCGTCGTCGTCTGGCAGACGACGCAACTACAGTACCGGCAGCGTATAAGCGACTCTGAAGTTCTATCGCCACGTGCTGTGGTACGTCATGTGACCTACTCGGAAGCAATCAGATTGCGAGGATTTGTTTACTTTCTCACAGCCAGGGTTCAGCGTTACTGCTCATCTGTCTAATGCACTCGCGGAGGCGATAAGGTTCGGTTAAGGTAATGAAAATGATATCAAGACGTGGGATGGCCAGTCGGTAAGAGGTAAGGTTTTGAGATTCATTTATAACTGCCATGTAGGTTGTGCCGTGTGCGTAGTAATGTGTGGCAACAGCACATTGAATTCCATACATTAGGAAGTCGCTTATACGGTACTATAGTTGCGTCGTCTGTCAGACGACGATTTTGTAATCTAGGATTACAATGGTAAAAAAGGTTTTGTATATTGTAAATGTGCAATCATTTAGCAATCATAATGTGACGACGGCTATTATAACAAAGGTCGCATGACGAGGTATTACTTGCGCAACTTTTCTTGAACGATGACCTTGCTACCCCATCTTTGGCATAATAAACAGTTGAAGGCAAAAGGTCGCAGCGAGCACTGATGGCAAACATCTCAAACACATCTTCACTGGCACGAAATAGAAACTATTGTGTGTTGGAGATGAGAACTTTTGTCCGTGATTTTCTCCAAAAAAATCTAAAAAAATTACCGAAACCGGTGAAGATCCATCACAGGAGATAGCTCGCACTCCTGAGAAAGAAGGCAAATTATCGAGAGAGTTGCGAAGGCATGACTGATTCTCCAGAGATTGGCATTGCTTCATAAAATCTAGTGGCTGATAACTAACTAATATCCCCACTCTACTTGCATTTCTGCAATCGTTGAAGACAAGTTGCACGAGTAATACTACTGTGGATGCTTTGAGAGACAACTTCTTTAAGTGTATCTATAAAACCTATAAAATGTATTTTTTTAACTGTATCATACACGTTCAATCCCTTAAATTTCGTGTTTCATTGTAAAAATGAGTTTTTCTTTAATTTTACCCAAAGTAGTGTGTCAGATTACGCCTTTGTAATAACGCTTGGAACAGGTCGCCTTTGTAATTTAGGGTAAAACCACATACACTCGGAAAATGGCTGCAACAGTTCTGTGTATTTATTTGAATGTTTATTATACATTTGTAATGAAAATTGATCTGTTCAAAAAACGTTTTTGATAATGGTACCGAAATCATGAGTAAAACAACAAATTCGCTTTTATAATAACAGAAAATTGAAATTACTCTAATAACATTGAATATAACCAATTATATTCCATGGAGATAATAGGTTCGCTTTTTTCTCAGTGTACACTTGACATCAAACAAATATGCATTAAACTGGCTTAATGCTGGCCTTACATTAGCAATACGTTTCCGCAATATCTTTCAGCAATTTGTTTCTGCTTCTTGCGGTCATCTTTACACTAGCAAGAGCAAGGAGGGGCAACATATTGTCAGAAAGATCTTTCCGGCAAGATATTGCCGATCGCTTTACATTAAGCTGGCTTTACACTTGCAAGAAAATGGCGAGCAATATTATTTCGTAAGAAAAGTTGCCAATGTAAAAATTACGGCAATAAATATTTCTGATGTTGGCAATATTTCTTGCTAGATATTCCGGTCGTAATGTAAACCCGTGTGTTTCCATCCTCGGAAATATATTGCCGGCTGTTGCTGGGACTAGAATTGGAATGAAGTATGAGTAAGATATTGCTGGAAGAAGCCAATGTTGACCACTGTCACATGCGCAGGAAGTATGTACGGTAGTACATAGACGTAATATTTCCATTTTAATACGCATTTTTTCGTAAAATGGGTGTATGAAAAAGGTTTATGATAATAAAAGAAGTAATAAATAATCCCTCTATGGTTGATTTTGAAAGGTTCAAATTTTGGTTCAGCTATAGAAGCCCCCTGATTATTAATTTTTACGTTAAAAATTATTTAGATATTAATCTAATCTAAATCAATTTTAAGATTACTCTATAATATAGCAGTAGCAGGAAATGGATATTTTAAAACTTTTTACCGAATTAATAATTTCACTTTTTATTCAAAGAAAATGACTTTGCTCCTACGGGAATGGAAATTCACGAAATCATTTTGTTTTAAGAAAAATATTCAGACACTTCTACCTAATTCGCAAAAGCCCCCTTTTGCGAATTAAAACGCGGAAAAACGGAAGCTCAGAGAGTCCCTCGTGCGGGGCCCATTGGCATATTTTATAGTGCTCAGGGCTTTGTTCATCATACGCTTCCACTTGGGTGGCACGTGGGCTCCCTTCCCCAAACATGACGTGGCCACAGGGCGTCGATCCGCCTCTCTGTCCTCATGCCTCTACTCCGGACATGTCGTCCGTCATCTTAAGGACTTACTCTGGAGCTGGGGGCTGCTAGCGGTGACCTCATGTCTCAAGAACCCAGTGCCTAAGTATTCACATTAATGGATACTTCCCAGTGGACTGCGTCATGATCAAAGCTCCTATAGAATTTTAAAAAGTATTATTACAATCACAGTTACAATCATTACACCTTCCCCCTTTTAAAAAGTGAACCATGCGGTTTACTTTTCTTCAACGAATATATCGAGTGGACCAGTGTACCGAGTGAGCCTCTTGGGCGTGGGATCTGGAGATATACTGGATGGCGCATGCTATCTGCTGTTGCCTTTACGTCTGTAAACGTTGGCTCACGGGTTATTGGAAGGGAACGCGTTGATAGGACAGGAGATATTTTATCGAGATCCCTTTGGTAGGATACTCCAGGTTGATAGGTATTTATTATCAAGCATCTCTCTCGTGTCTGTGTCCAACAGTTCCTTGGACTCCATTTGCCCCACAACAAAAAACCACATTCTCTACATTTGCAACAGCAAGTAATTATAATAAACAATACAAATACATTTAGTGATCCTAACCATGTTGCGCCTTGATACCAGACAAGGAAGAATACTTTCTTCTTGATCTTTAATCAGCCCTTCTATTTCTGATATCTTGTAGCTCGCCATTTTTAAATCATCTGCAGAAGTCAGAATATTCTGCAGAGGGATATCCAGATCTAAATTAGTTAATTTCTCCTTTGTCTCCTCATCAAAACAACAATCAAAATTTGGAGACATTACATGTAATACGTCCAGCTCAGTTCGATTGACTTCTATTTGACTACTAGCATATAAGGTCGCGGAAGCAGTATATCCTTTGCAACCTTTTGGGAGGTGTAGTTTACCTCGGTTTCTAATACAATGTTTCGTGTTCCTTGAAGAGGACACAAAATAGCAAATCGTTCGGGATTGGGTGCAACGTATAACCACTCATTACTCAGATATAGCGAGTAAGATATAGCCAGTGTGTTCTTGTTAATTTAACAATTTTCTTATCATACACATCTGGAACTCTGTTATGATACATGTAGAAGCGTAACTTCACAATCTACATCTGGAACATATGTATATACTGCTACTTTCTCTTTACACACAAAATTATTTTCATTAGGGTTAAAATAATTACTCAATTCATTGGAAGACATCTACCCATACTTGTTATGCATAATGTCCTTAAATATATACTCTCTATTAAAATTAAGATAATATATGTATCGTCTTTAACTCTGGGTGAAAAAGGTAATACTTTACACAATTGATATTGCATATCTGAAATAAGTATTTGTATTATATATACGAAATAGTTCTGAAAAGAATCGATGATAGGCATGATTAATCTACTAGGTTCACTAATAGGAAAAGGAGGATAGTCCAGGTCATCCTTTGGTTTACCTTGATCCATAAAGCTT